CAAATGCCCTCCCTCAAAGCAGCCACGACTGGTTTCAATAAAGCCCAGGCCAGAGCCTGGAAGGAAGCTGTGTCAGGGAGGCTGCTCGCTGTGGCCCCAGAGACTCCCTGTGTCCTTGGTGGTCCTTGACTTTGCTGTCACCACGGAGCTAGATCCCTCCGTTAAAGCAGAGGGCCAAGCACACACAGAGTACCCCTTTGTCATTTCTCTTAGCGCAGCTGAGACCAGCTGGCATTTTCACAAAGGGCTTTACTAAATACTAAGGGAGAACAAAGGGGAAATAATTACAGAAAACACGAAAAACCCAGCCCTGGCTGCCAAGTTCCCAAAGTACAGGTTTCTGATCCTTTGGTGACGACATGTCGCCCCAAAGGCTTCGGACAAGGCCGCAACACCTCGTCTGGCTTTCCTTGTTCGCAGCCCTCGTGGCGGCTGCCATCTTGTTTCCCGCCCCTGGGAGCCACTTGGTCACCCGTGGCCTCTGCTGTTATCTCCCTTCCAACTCAGCCCCACCCCAGGCCTCCCATCGGGTTCTGGTCTCTGGCCCAAGGCATGAGCCTTGTCCCCTGGGGGTTGGCGGGGCTGTGCTGACCAACCCAGGCCATGATTACACAGTAAAGGGAGGTTGTCTGCCCACACTCTTGCCCCAACAGAGAGGCCCACCCAAGTTGTCTTGGACATGGGGTCTAGGAGGGCTTCCTCTGAAGGCTGAAGGACATTTGGATAAGAAATCACAGGCTTGGGACATTTTCCCTGTGGGGAGAGAAGAGAGTGCTCTGAGGATTGGCCCAACTCAACAAATACCAACTAAGCCCCAAGTGTGTACCAATCCCTGTGCAAGGTGCTGGGGATCTGAGTGACTAAGTGCCTGTCCTCTCAGATCTTACATTCTAAGGGAAAACAGACAAGCAGCTAAGTAGTGATGAGAATGAGAACCAGGTGCCACGAGGAAGAGGCAATTCAAGGTGCCATGGGAACCTGGATGAGAGGCATCTCACCAGTGGTAGTGGCCAAGATGGCCAATGGAGCCTGACTGGAAGAAGTGCATGAAGAAAAGGAAAGGGGCTCTGGGTTGAGGCTGGGTGGGGCCACAGGAAATACCAACCCAGGAGGCAGGAGGAGAAGGCAGAGGAGGCCAGCCAAGCAAACATCTTGCCAGTGACTTTGGGTAGCAGGTGGCTACAGCATGTCCAGCCTTTAAAGTGGAAAGGACCTCAGCCCCCGCTGCCCACTGCTGCTCTCCCTGTCAGCCAGGAAGGGGGACAGGCTAGTCCTTGGATACTCTACTTCTCACCCACCTATTATCATACCCAGGTCTGGGGCTCTGGAACAGGGTCAGAGGGAGTATGTTGACCCAGGGCCACCTGAGATACTGCTCTAGTACCAGATGCTGAACTGTCATCAAAGGAGAAGGAAGAATCATAGTTGGGAAATAGTTCAGAGGGTCAAGACAATGAAGAAGCTAGGCCAAAATGGGAAAATGAGTCAGAAAGCCGAAAGCCAAGACATTGGGATGGGTTCAGGCAGGTGTTTCAGGCTAAGACCATGACTAATGCAAGGTGTGGGGAGCCCTGTGTTTGGGGGCAGCCTTGGGAGGCAAGGGCTGGCCTGGCAGCCTGGCATGTGGGTCTTGAACCCGTGGCCACTCAAGATGACTATTGTCATGGCCCAAATTGTTTCTACAGCCTAGACCCTGTATTTACCTGTATTTGCTCCCTGTGAAAGGGTCAGCCCCAGGCCTGGGAGCCAGGCTTCTCCCTCTCATATCAACTTTGCAGAGTTTGTCAAGCACCCACTCTGCTCCAGCAGAGGAAGAAGCCAGAAAAGGTGTGAGACATTGGCCCTACCTTCAAGGTATTTGCAGTCTAGATGGTAGAGAGAGCTTATGCTCACTGGAAAGAGCTCTGGAGAAAGACTAGGCTGACCCCCATTTCTGTTCCTTCCTTAATAGCTATCTGACTATGGGCAAATTATTTAACTGCACCTCCATTTTCCCATCTTCAAAATGGGAATAATTAACAGCTACCTCATAGGTTTCTTGTGAGAATTCAATGAGCTGAAGTGTATAAAGCACCAGGCCCGCTGCTTGGCACATAATAAATGCTCAGTAAATATTACTTCTCTTCCTGAAACAACAAATGATTGCAATGATGATCAGTTCAGTGTTGAGTTGTGAACACTGACTCTGCCAGTGGATCTACTCCGCACCTGGATCTACTCGGAAGCTTCACTGACAGTTGGGGACTGATAGCTTGGAAGGTGATGGGGTGTGTGTGTGCGTGTGTGTGTGTGTGTGTGTGCGCGTGCGCGTGCACACACACACGTGCATTTGTATATGTCAATCCCTCTATTCTTTTGCTCCTCTGCAATTGGCAGAAGCATGAGATTCTTTACTTTCTGTCTCATGCCCATGATGACAAGGACTCTGCTCTGTAACTGTAATGTTTTTATATCTCTAATAAGCATTAAAAGTTTGTTAGAAATCATGCCTAACAGCTACCATTCCTGCACGGCAGGTGCTTTATCAGTCCTCACCCATGAGGTAAGTACTGTTCTTATTCCCACTTAAGATGGAGGCAGCTGGGGCTCTGGAAGTTACTTGAGGTTATAGAGCTGGTAAGGGCTGGAGTCACAGTCTGAAGAAGCGGGGCCCTCAGCACACCTGCCCTGGGCTGGATGTGAGCAAGAGGAAACCTCTACTGAACTCGTGGACATTTTGGGGTCTCATTGGCTTCTGCCACCTACCCTAGCTAATTCACCTCACAACCCAAGAAGCCAAGTTCAGAAGGGTATGGTTCCCAGTTTAGTGACAAAAGCACGAAGGTACACTTGTGGAAATCGCAGAGATTGCCCAGGTATTGAGCTCACTCCGGAGGGTAGAGAGAGCTTCGGCGTCCCCAGCCATCTGTACCCCTACTCCCCATGAATGTAAACTTGGGTGGAACGTCCACATCACATGCCCAGCACCTGGGGCAGTGCCTGGAGCATAGTAGGGCTGAAGCAATATGTGTTGAATGAAAGAATTAATACAAACACATAAACATACACAATGTACACAGCCCTATACATATGCAGTTATGGGCAAATATGTCCAATGAATAAGTGCTCAAGCCACTCATTATAGACAAGCATATACAATGCAGATACTCTAATACACACACTCATGCACAATACACACACGTGCCCACATACACAAATCCAAATCCAAAATAAGGACACATAAACACATGCGTATGTATGCACAGATGTTATGGGCAAGCATATATGATCCAGATATGCACAAACACACATCTACTCACCCCCATACACATGGACAGCGGTTCTCAGACCTCTACTGTGACCCTGGGCCTAGGAACAAGTCTGTCTGCCTCTTGAGCCCTAGCATGTTGGAGCTCGTCAGAAAGTTCTTTGCAGCCCCTACTTAGCTGGCTGGTAACTGGCCCCTGGCTACCATACCTCCGGGCTTGGGGCTGGCCAGGCAGGGAGGCAGCATCTCTGGCAGCACCTCGTGGGTGGGCAGGCAGGCAGCGGACGCAGAGGTCACTGGGGTGAGAACTGGGGCTGCTCTGGCCTCTCTGCTTCTGCCTGGAATGTGTGCTGCAGGGGCCACTTCCCAGGCCTCCCTTCTCTTCCATAGCCACCCATGCCCCAGGCCTGGACCAACCCATGACCCCAAATCCTGCCAGGTTCTTGCAGCCAGGGAGCTGTGCACGGAGGGTGGTGGTTGTGATGAACACTTGAAGACCATGGGAGGGCACAGCGAGATGCACAGTCACACACAGAACCTGGCTCAGACACTCACATATGGAGAAAGACATAGACACAAAGACCCAGGCAGACATGCAAATTCACAGTCTCACTGAAATGCCCATTCAGACACACTTCCAAACAAACCTAGAGACACAGTGGACACGTACACACACATAATCACACAAACGGACACGGATACCAAGAGACCAGGCCCACACACAAGCGACATTTATACATACGGCAGACACACGCAGAAACTCAGACCACACAGAGACCCAGAGCACAGGTGGTTCTTCACAGTAACACTTAAATGCCAAGACACATGCACAGACACATGAAGACCGCTGTCGGCATACCCCTGCCGAGTTGGAGCATTTCCTCCTCCTCCTGGGACTGGGAGGAAACGCTGCACTAGGCCACTCTCCAGCTCACATGTGGTGTGCTCCCAGGGAGGGCCAGAGAAAACTGCTTCCCACAAGGGGAAATAGTGCTGGCCCCCCAGCCAGGTGCCCACAGCGAGGCTGCCCTGCTGTCTAAGTGCTTGGCCAGGAGGATGGTGTATGGGGCAGAGAGCCAGTTCTGGAGTCATGTGGCTGGGGTTTTGTCTGTCAGTTACACACACACACACACACACACACACACACACATACACACACACACACACACACTTTTCAAGAGTGTGTATGTATGTACAATATATACGTACAGGGACACTCTTGGAACCTCAGTGTCTTTATCCTTAAAATGGGATTAATAATCCTTTCACCCCTGAGGATTGTGGGGATGGCATAAAGTGGCACCGTGAAGGACCAAATTGCTGCCTTCCTAGGGGTCTGGGGCCTGCAGTTTCTGCAGAGCCCACTAAAGTCTTGAGTCTTGTTCGCAGACGTCAGACTCCACAGCTGGGTCCCCCCACCCAAGGTGGCCAGCCTAAAAGAGGGGGAGCTGAGCTGTGGGCCTCCTTCTGATGGCGGGCACTGGGGGCCGGAGGCCCCGGCACCAGGCTCCGGGCGGCCTCGTGGGAAGCTGCAGGCTGGGCTCCTGCGGGGCGCGAGGGTCCGCGTGCGGGGCGCGAAGGTCGGCGTTCGCAGCGCTCTTTTTATGCACTGCCGCCGCCGCCGCCGCCACCCCGGCGGGGATCCGCGCTTGGCCGCTCCCTGGGACCCGAGCCGGAGCCTCGTCCGCGGTGGGCGGGGCGGGCATGGAGCACCGCCCCATTCACTGCCTCTGAAACCCAGTTGCCGACAAGCTCCAGTCCCAGAAGGGGGCTGCTGTCTGAGCAGGAAGCTGCATCTTCACTGGCCAGCCGGGAGAGGACCTGGGGTCTCGCTGGGCGCCCGACGGACCCTCCCCAGGGACCCGCCTGCCCCACACCGCCCCGCGACGCCGGGCGCTCCGCATCAGGTTCTCCAGCCACAGCATTACCTGTGGGCTCTCGAATTCCCAGAGCTTCCAGAAGATGCTCGGGCTACCAGCTGGGACCTCGGGGCTACAGTGAAGGGGGCACCCATCCTCCCTTTCAGCTCCTCTCGTCCAGTGCCAGGGGCTCCCCCAGGGGGGCGAGCATGGTGGTTTTCCATCGGAGCCCCCTGGCTTGGGACGTCTGAGAAGATGCCTGCTATGAGGCTGTTCACTTGCTTCCTGCAGCTTCTGGCTGGGCTGGCGCTGCCTGCTGTGCCTCCCCAGGTAAGACCTGCTCCCACCTCCCAGCCTGGGTCCCCTGAGCTTCCCACCCTCAGCACTCAAAGCAGGCGCTCTGAAATCACGGACCCACTCCCAAGAGCGGCCCCTCTAAGGATGTCCACACATTTCTCAGGAGATAGGCTGGACCACGTCGTCTGGGAGGAGACTTCAGGCTGGGCTGTCCTAGACTCCAGCTCCAGGGTCTGTCTTGGCGGGGGCAGGGAAGCCACAGGGAAGGGAGGGAGGTTTCCTGTCTGGCCCCTGTAACCCCAGTGGCTTTGCTAAAAGCATCTCTCCACTAATCCCAGGCGGTCCCTGCCTTGTGGTCAGGGTCGAGGCCTGTGACCAGGCAGGCGCCCCCAGGACCTCTGACCTGGCCTGGTGGAGAGGAAGCTGCCAGAAAAGGCCATTGGTGGGAAGGCTGGGCCCTGCCCCCACAAGGGCTCTGGACTGAGCACAGGGCCCAGGGTGGTCTGGAGGCAAGACAAGAGGTCCTGCTGTGCCTTCTTTCCCGGGTGGGTAGCCGGAGGTCCTGCGTGCAGGGCCTGGGGAAGTGAACAGGACTCTTTTCCCAGGAGCTGGGTGAGTCTGGCTAAGAGCCAGCTTGGGCCGTGAAATCCTGACAAAGCCAATGAGCTGCCTTCCCACTGCACTGTCCCACTTGCCCTGGGAGTCCCAGGCCCCACCCCAGGAGTGGGTGGGCTGGACATTCCCCTGAGGTAGAAGAGCCCCACCGTCCACCACCCTCCTGCCTGCTGCAGGGGTGGCCAGAGGTATAACGTTACCAGCAGCACCAGCTCATGGCGCCACCCGCTCCAGCCCCTCAGCTCCCACCAGCTGATCACCTCCCACTGGGCTCTGGCACCCGGCCAAGGCGGGCTGCACAGGGCCCAGCTGGGCTGGCCTGGGGGCTGGGTAGGAGAGAGACCCCAAAGGATCACAAGATCTTTGAGGCACAGAAGGCAAGGGGTCTCCAAAACCCTCCAGCCTCCCACCCTTTCCGAATGAGAAAACAGACCAGAGCGAGGGCTGGGACCCACCCAGGGTCCAGTGAGGTTTTAGTTGTACCTTGAAGGAGACAGCTCTGAGACAAGACAGAGCGTGTGTGCAGCGGGTGGGAAGGCTCCGAGGGGCCTCTGCGCTCTTGCCAGTGCACTCAGCCCCAGGGCACGGAAGCCCAAGGTGGTCCCCCTCATCTCTATACCTTTCTGTCCACAGCAATTGGCCTTGTCTGCTGGGAATAGCTCGTCAGAGATGGAAGGTAAGCCTGGGTTGGTACCTGTGCTCACCAAGCCTTTTCCTCCCAAGCCTCTGCAGAGGATGGGACATAACTAGCATAAAGGGTGGGTGCAGGATGATATTAAGTTGGGGAGAGTCTGCAAGTTGGCTGATACCCTAGCTGACCAAGTTGGTAGGGCTTGAGAAATCCCCTTATTGTGAGCCAAAGGCCTAGAGAGCTGCATTACTGGGCCAGGGTCAGTATCCAGAGAGCAGAGCTGGGGCCAGTATACCCAGAGTTGGTCTAGTTGGTTCAGAGCCCCTTCTCAGCATGATGTCAGGGGGCAGATGGGGTCTTGGAGGGCAGTGTGGGCAGCGAGTGCCAGGGGCCAGACTGGGGCTCTGGGAGCTGGATGCAGTGGGCAAGCAATCAAGAGAGTCAGGGAGGGGTAAGGGGGCCTTCCCAGCAGCCAGCCCTGGCGGAGCTGCAGGGATCTGACCAGGCCTTTCCATTGATTACAAACAGACAGAACATGAGTCGCGCCCTCCCTGGCCTGTCCACTCCCCACCCTGGGTTGAATCAAGAGGGAATCTTCAAAGGGCGAGAAGTTGGCCAAAGAGACATGCATGCATGCAGAAGGCAGGAGGCTGATGCCAGACCCCCTGCCTTGCTCCTCCCTCCCTGCCTCTGCAAGACGCGCAGCGAGGCCACACACCACTAAGGCTTCCTACGGCTCTAAGGGAGAGGAAGCATGTAGGGACATGCATGGGCACACGCATGATAGCCAATGACAGCTGGGAACACCCTCCCCTGCTGCCCTGCCTGCCTGGTAGCCAGCCTCTCCTGTGCCTGAATCCCAGACCCCTTTGGCAGTGAGAAGGTGGTGAAGGTAGCAGACCCAACCCTCGCCTTTCCCTGCTGTGCCCTCCGGGACTGGCACAATGTTATGCTCTCTGAGATTTGGAGAAGGGCCCGTCATTATCTCCACCCTATGGCCTTTTTGATGCTTTTAGTGTATTTCAGGCAACGGCAACCAAAGAAGCTGGAGCCTCAGTTTCCTCGTCTGTAAAATGGAAGCGGTAGACTACATGATATCTAAGGTTCTTTTTCTAAGACTATAGGAGTCTCTGACTTCATGGAGGAGACACAGGAGTATGTATCTCCCAGGGAACCAGGGTGAGGAGGCTTAGAAGTGTTGATTTATTAGGGCAGCTCACCTGTCATCTTAATCAATCAGGGAGCCTACATGGTGGCCAAGGGAAGTCTCGTGAGCTTTGGACCCCAGTTATCAAAATCTGAAAATGCCATCCCCTCCTGCTAACACCAGACAAGAGGCAGCATGGTCTATACTTTGCAGCCAAATACCATGGTAATAGTATTGGGCATTTACTATAATTCTGTGCTGAGCACAGGCTGTGAAGCAGGAAGGCGTTCGTGTTCTCCACATTTTGTAGATGAAGAATCGGAGGCTCAGGGAGGCCCTTGGAGCGGCCTAAAGCCTCGGACGCGCCTCAGTATCCGTGGCTCCTGGCTGAGCAGGCGTGAGTGGTGTGTCCCTTGCGGCAGGCTGGCTGTGTGCCCCACTAGTGCCTATGGAGAGGACACCTGTCCAGCTCGGGCTGGTGGCCAGCAGCTCTGCCCAGCAGCCTCCCCAGGAGCTTGCTCTCAGGATGAAACATTCCCCTTCTTGAGTATCCTCGGTCCTGGGTGGTAGGCAGCTGGAGCCAGCAAGGAGGCTCTCCCACAGGGCTGGTGAGAGACGAGAGCTCACTCGTGGCCCCAGGAGCAGCCCTTGCCAAACGGCCTAGGCCCTGGCCTGGTGCCTGACTGGGCCACAGCCTCCCACTCCTCTCACCCCCACTCCTGCCTCTGGAGCAGCTCTGGGGCCAGAGGAAGTGCTCTCAGGAGCAGCTGAACAGAGCTCTTCCATGAGGGGCTCAGCCCACATCTGGGAGTGGTCACCACTCTGTCAGCCGGCCCCTCACCCAGCCCCCTTTGTTTCTACCACACACCCAGAAGGCGGGGCGGCCTCCAGAGATGAATTACCCTCTTTCCTGGCGGCTGCCAGGTAAAACAGGCCCACTTCACCTCCTTCCTCAGCCTTTCCCCCACAGGATCTGGCCATGTGGCCTGAAAAGTGGCAGCTCTCAGGGCCCTGGAGCCTGGGCCCCTTTGATGCATTCTATATGGTAGGGTACGGGGGTGAGGAAAAGAAGGAAATCCCTTCTTTTGCCGCCAGGGCCCAGGCACTCTGCTTAACCTGGCTGGGGCCCAAACAGCCCAGCTGGCTGGGAGTCTGTTTGCAGAATGGCAGGGGGCTGGGGTACCCCTTCTCTGCTGCTGTCCCCCTCCCTAATAGCGGGTCCGGTGCAGGAGGCTGAACCTTCTATGGCACTTTGGCGGCTGCCTCTTCCTCTGCTGTTATTTATGTTTTTGAAGGCGGAGATGAAACCTTCAGAGTTACATAGTGCTCATGAAGATTTTAGACTAAACATGCGTTCGTGAAGTAACATAGGGAGGTGCCCCTCTGACCTCGCACTTCAAAGGCCGGCTTCCCTAGGGCTTCGGGGCTGCCTGTGGGGAGAACGGCTTGCTTCCCACTTGGGAGTCCAGGGAGAGTGTCCCAGTGGCCTGCAGAGGTAGGATCAAGGCAGGCGGCGGCTGGTCCTCCACCGTCCCTGGGCCCAGCCCTAGCGCCCTCTAAGCAGACTGGACAGAACGGAGCAGCAGGCACTCAGATAAGCACGGTTTATTGCCTCTGTGGCCTCCTTGGCCAGCTCCACGTGGACACACTGCCTCTTTGGTATTTTCCACCAGCTTGCAGCCTTTCCCCAGGGCCTCTGCTAAGGCTGAAGTTTATTTTTCCTCTGAGATTACCCTGAGACTCATGTCCTCACAGGCTCAGTGGAATGGACTTCGGCCCCTTCTGCCTCATAGGAAGGGCCCTGGAAGACGTGAGGGGCTGCTAGGCAAGCCATTGCTCTGGCGAGAGGCTTCAGGGCCCCTCGGTGACCCAGCTTCCATGTCCTCTCTGAGGACCACCTCAGGCAGGGTGACTCAGGGCGGGAGAGATATTTCTCTGCCCATGGGCTCATGGCTGGGCTGGGTTGTGTGCAAGGAGTCACAGACCGTCTTTCAGAGCCGGGAGAGGCCTAAGCAACCATCGGTCCCCAACCTACTTCTTTTTCCTCAGCTGAGGAAACTGTTACACCCAGAAAGGTTAAGTTACCTCCCCAAGGTCACACAGTCAGCGTAGAGCCAGAACTAGAGGGCAGGTCTCCTGGCTCTGGCTACTCGCTTCCTGTGAGCCTCTGTTTGGGACCAGGCTCCAGGCTTTCCCTTGAAGGAGCAGCATCTTTTGAAAGATTCCAGATCAGCCCCCAAAAGCTCCCCGTCATGACCACCAGGACTTCGTGGGGGTCGGGGATGTCACTGATAATCCTCAGTGAACTATCAACTAATGAATCAGTAATTACTTAGCCTGTGTTTACCGGGTGCTTGGGTCCCTGTCCTCACAGACCCTTCTCAACTTGGTTGTAAAGGAGATAAAAGCTACCAGTGACTGAGATAAGGCAAGCCTTGGGGCCTAGTTATGCTCAAAGGAAGAACATCTGTTCATACTAGGAAAGTTGGAGAAGGCGGGGAGTTGGGCCTTGAGAAATGATTAGAAATGAGACATGGTGATTGCGGTGATATGGCCAAGTTTGGGTTTGGTGAGAAGTGCTGGTCCCACTACAATGGGGAGTGGGGATGGAGTACATTGCTGCGTGAAGTCTTAGCTGCCTGGCAGAGGAGTTGGCCCAGGGTCGGGCAGAAAATAAGGACTAGGGGAAGGCTAACCCTCCCCGTGGGACTCTGCAAGCCAGTGTCACAGAATCCACAGAGCTGACTGTTCTCTGCCAATTTCTGAAGGCTGAGGAAGCACCAGGTCAGGCCTGAGAAAGACACTGCAGGCCTGGGGAGCTGCCAAGGCAGGCTTCTCGAAGCTCCAAGGGCACTAAAGCAGGTGTGGGTACCTGAACTAAAGTGAGGGCAGAGAGCTCAGGACCCTGAGGAATTCCAGTCCATTGGAATTTCTGTCCAGCAGATGAGCTAAGGGTCCAGCTGTTTTCCCAGAGGGATCATATCAGTTCAGAGCAGAGGGAGCTCAGAAGGCCTGGGGGCTTCCTGGAGGAGGAGATGTGGGCTAAACCTGGAAGACTGCAGGGCCTAGGGAGCCAGGACTAGGGCTTCGAGGAGCAGGCCCCTCTTGGCCTGACCCAGCTGACTGTGCCCCTTGTAGTGGTGCCCTTCCAGGAAGTATGGGGCCGCAGCTACTGCCGGGCACTGGAGAGGCTGGTGGACATCGTGTCGGAGTACCCCAGCGAGGTGGAGCACATGTTCAGCCCGTCCTGCGTCTCCCTGCTGCGCTGCACTGGCTGCTGTGGTGATGAAAACCTGCACTGTGTGCCGGTGGAGACGGTCAATGTCACCATGCAGGTAGGGAGGGTCTCTTCCTCACATCCCGCCTGCCCCACTGTCCATACCCTTCTCAGAGGGCTACAGAACCTGCCAACTAAAAGGGGAAAGGAAGGCAGGCCAAGGTCACAGGAACGCAACTGACTCCCAGGCCTGTGCCCCTCCTTTTTGAGCCCCCCCCTCTCCGTCCCAACTTTCAGCCCACTCCCCCCCTCCCTTACGAGCTTTCCCAAGCTCAAGCTTAGCCCTACTCCAGGACACAGGATATCTGGTTGAGGTTACAAAAGACATCTGCTCAGATTCAAGAAGTCCCTGTTTATATCAGTAGCATTTGGTACCCTGAGCTTTTCGTGCGCGCGCGCGCGCGCACACACACACACACACACACACACACACACACACACATGCGCGACACACACACACACTCACGGTTTGCTGAGCACTTACCGAGTAATGCCAAGCACTGTGGTAGGTACTTAAAAAATGCTACGTCAACATTCAGTCATTCAAGGCAAGCGTTATTCCCATTTCACAGATGGGGAACTTGAGATCAGTGCTCAGCAGGTGGGAGAGCCAAGGTTTGAACGTAGGTCTCTCCGACTCCAGAGAATGGGCCTCCTTCCTACGCTGCTACTATGCTGGTGGCCCTGGGGAGGAAGGCACGGGGGCGTCCCTAAGATTCACATGCAGGTGGGAGAGCTGTTAGTTCCACGCTCAGAACAGAATGAGGAAAGAGTCCGAAGGCTGGTGGGAAACAGGGACTCTGGTCCTCCTCTCAAGCGGAGGGTGGGCAGGGTGTTGGAAACCCACGGGCCACCCTGCAGTCCAAGCATCCAACTTTTCTCTCCCCACAGCTCCTGAAGATCCGTTCTGGGGACCGGCCCTCCTACGTGGAGCTGACGTTCTCTCAGCACGCACGCTGTGAGTGCAGGTAGGTCCTCAGGGAGGGGCAGGGACAAGCCCCATGCACTTGGCAGCCTCAGCCAAGTGGCCGCCCTTCGCAGCTGCAGGCTACACTTCCTTCCTGGCTGAGGGTGACCAGGGAAATCAGGGACCACTGGCAACTGCATTTGGTCCCCCCATCAACTAGTTTTTGCTTGGGGAAGTGGTCCCAGCAGCTTGAGCACAGCTGTTGAGAAGCCACAGGGGCAGAGGAAGACTGGGTCCCTCCTAGACTTCCAGGGGCTCAGGGCATACCATCCCCCTCCCCAAGATGGGAGGCAGCTGCCACAGCCCTGGAAGAAACACCTGAGACAGGACGCTGCAAGCCTGGGCTGAGTTCTGGGCCAGGCCGGTGCCTATGGAAGGGGGCAACTGGGCAGAGGAGCGAAGGAAAAATCAAGCTTTGGCAGGAGGAAAGGGGCAGAAGGAAGGGGGTATTGGGGTTTCTTTAAAATTGCAACCCCACCCAGCAGAGCCCCTGACCAGCCTCAGTCTTGCTGCTGGTCCCCAGACCACTCTGAACATTAGTTACCAGGAGGAGCAGCCTGGCACTGCCAACCAGGCCCAGGGAAAAAAATGGGTGGAGGTGTTGTCCTGGTGCCCCTGGGCCATGGATGGAAGCACCAGACAAGAGGTCCTGAGCCCTATCCTGGAGCAGGAAACAGTGGGAGGAATGCCGTTTATTGAGTCCCTACTCTGTGCCTAGCCCCATACTAGGTACTTGATGGTTTTTCTCACTTAGTGTTCAAATGGTCACATTCTCATTTAAAGTTTTCTCAACAAACATTTATTGAGCACCTACGTATGCCAGACACTGTCCCAGATGTCTGGGGATACAGTGGTGAGCAAGACAGACAAGGTCCCTGTTCTTATAACAACCCTGGAGGGCGGTACTATTATCAGCCCCATTTTATAGATGAGGAAACTGAGGCTTGGTATGATTACATGATTTGCGTGAGTAAACCCCAGGCTGTCTAACCCCTAGGCCTTTCCCTTTTCATGCTATCTCTTACGGCTATTGCCAAACTTCCCAGGAGCCCCAGTACTTCTTCACTATACCACTATTGAGGGCCCTGCCTCAATCCGTTTCCTCCTGTCTCTTCCAGCCAGGACTTCGCCAAATAACAATAGCTCAGTAATGAACCCTCCCAGGCACAGTGCTAAATGGTGACCTTTCACATTCCACGTCACCTTTGCCCTCACGACCACTCTGTTGAGGTAGGCAGATGAGGAGACTAAGGCTCCAAGAATGTCTCTGACCTGCCCAAGATGACAGAGACATGACCGGGCAGTCCAAGAGGCCCTGGTACCCTGCCCTGGCTCCCACGGGAGATAGCCAGCCTAGGGCAGCATTCCCTGGCCGCACTGCCCCACCCTTCCACCCCTGTTCCCAGGCAAGACTGAAGCTCTGTCGCCTTCCAACGAGCTGGCCCACAGGGACACCTTTCTTCTCCCTTCTGGGCCAACAGCCACAGCTCAGAGGCAGAGCCAGGGCACTCCTGGTGACTGTGGGGCCGCTCTCACCTCCCCGCTCAACCACTGCTTTTGCTGTTGCCTGCAACGTCACACACCCCCGGGGCAGGGGTGGCAGTTGTGTCCTGACAAGCAGCCTTAGCTGGCAGCAACCATCCCCCAGTCCATGGCCTTGCCCCTCAGTTACTGTCCTTGAGGAAGCTCTGAGCGTACCCTGAAAGGAAGGGAGTGAACAGAGAAGACAGCAGAGAACAGGCTTACACATCCCCGGATGTGATGCCAAGAGGCTGAAAAATGCAGAAGGGTGTGGAGAGGGGCCCCAAGAGGGAATTTGCCTCTCTATTGATGGAAAGGTAGAGTGTGAGCTCAAGCCCAGAGGCCTCTGACCGTCTCTCTCTCACTAACTCCATGCTGCTCCCTAGTGGCTTCAGCACCAACTGCAGAGCCAGGACTCCAAATGTCTGAGAGGAGGTGTGAGGGTGGAAGGGAGCCCCCATTTACTGCTTTCCTGATACTCCCCTGCCCCTGTCTGTCTGTTTCCCCAGGCCTCTGCGGGAGAAGATGAAGCCAGAAAGGTAAGTGGCCTGGCTGGGGCACCGGACTGTTCTCCGGCCTGCCAGCCCCTGGCCTAGCATGGGGCCCCCAGGCGCTCTGTCCTGACGCTTTTGGCTTATTGCAGGAGGAGACCCAAGGGCAGGGGGAAGAGGAAGAGAGAGAAGCAGAGACCCACAGACTGCCACCTGTGAGTGTGCGGCGGGGGGGGGCCCAGGGATGGCAAGAAGGCTGGGCCAGAGGGGAGCCCCCGGCAGCAGGGGTCAGTGGTTGGGACGGGGAAAGCAAGGCCCAGCGCAGCCTTGGCCAGAACAGGGAGCTATATGCCTGGAGATTCTAGGGCCCAGGAAGCAGCAGGGGGCCTTGGTTCTCGTCCTCACTTAGCCCAAGTCTCTATGTGGCCTGGAGCAAGCCATGTCTCCTCTCTGAGCCTCGTTTTTCTCACTGTAAAGTGAGGGGCCAGGGGCCCACCAAGCAGTGAGTCATTCTAGAAATATTTACCAAGCACTTACTGTGTGCCAGGTATACCGGTGAGCAAATCAACAAGGTTCTTACTTTTAAGAGCTTACGTTCTAGTGATGAAAAGCCCAACAGCTGAAACTGTACCCAAGGCTACTTCCTAGTGGCCCTGGGGAAGGGGCAACTGTCCACTGGTTCCCAGGCCAGTTTTTATACCCCTCCCTCCCCTAGGGGACTTAGGGGTCCCCTGGCTTCCTCTTTTCCTCTCGGTGTGACCTGCCCATCTTAGCTTCCCACATGGAGGCCCAGGCTGGAGTCCAGGCCTGAGTCTGGCCTGGGAGAGCAGGATTGGAGAAGGGAAAACCCAAATCTGTGAGAGTAAATAGCAAAAATAAAATATTTCCTATCTACAGTAACTCAGTCACACTGAGTTTCCTCCCAGCTCTAAGCTCCAGGGGACCATTTCATGCCGTGGGACTGGAGCTGACCCACGTCCTACCCCATGGGCCCACCCCTCCATGAGCAGAGACATCCAGTCCACTCCATGAAGCCAGGAACTCTGGGGACGTTGGTTTCCCCGAAGGTGCGCGGCCCCTGTTTCTCCCCTGGGCCCAGGCAGCAACTTGGAGAAGGAGCTGGCAGTGTAGTCAATGCAGGGCTCCCCCGGCCAGGCAGGCCCAGGTGGAAAGCACCCCGTGGCTCCATCTGCCAGGGCAGCAGTCTTCAAACGCCTTATTTGGGAACCTCCTGAAACAATTTCAAAAACCCATGTGCTCCCTTGCTCATTTTTAAGTTCACATTGAACTTTCCCATAAAAATTGTAAGTAGTTGCAAAGGATATCATTTCTGGCATGTTATAAATATTAATATTTTAATATAAAGCCATTATATAACTCTTCAGATGTAGCCTATGAAATAAGACATCCTAATTTAATACCATCATCCACTATGTATATATATATATATATATATATATAAATGGGGGTGCCAACAAAATGTACACACATTTTAAGAAAGGAAAACTGTATTAAAATTGTAATACTCAAAATATGCCGGTAACAAAAGATGAACACAAGTCACGTTTGACTTCTGCAATTACAAAAGGTGCTCAAAGTGGTTACCATCAGCGTCCAGACACTTCTGATTATGGCGAACTACTGCTTGACCAACGTTGACCGAAGTGTCCACTTGTGTAAATTTTTTTGGCACCCCGTATATAAAATATATACATGAATACTCCCCTTTAATAGTAGTTGCATATTTACATTGCTTCTTTTCTCCTTGAGCTTGTATTTCCATTTCACTTCCCCCACAGAATTTCAGCCTAATGTAATTTTTTAATATTCAAAAGTCTTTTATATTATCACCTTGTCATATGTATCTGCCACACAATGAATTATTTTAAATTTCCTGTGAACATAAAACTCTAAATTTTCTCACAATAATTAATAGTAGTACCAACTGATCAAAACAGCACAAATACATCATATTTTAATAAATGTTAAAATAAAAGTACAATCAATCTCCTTGGGAATGCATCTCAAGGACATGGATGTGGCTACCTCCTTTCAATGAGTTAATGAACCTGTTAACGAATGTTGCCTTCTGCCAGACTAAAACAAGATTCAGCATTAATTCCATTCCTGTTTCACCATTTTTTATAGACGAAAAGGTTGAGAAATCATGCTCGTATAAATAAGTAAGTGGGACCAAATGTTACTTAATCACTTGAACTTGTTGACGTAAGAACTGTCTAAACCTGTAGAAAATTTTTATGAGGTTATTTGAGCCAAACTGATGACAATTGCTGGGAAACAAAACCTCAACGGATTGAGAAAATGCTCCAGAAAATGGCACTTTTGCAGCCTACTTTATACATTAGAATCAACGGAGGAGACATAAGGAGGATGACATGAAATCCACTGGTGGTAGATTAAGAGGGAGGGAGAAAGCAAAATGGGGAAATCTCTGGGATTGGATAAAAAGCAAAACGGAGACATATTTCTTTTACATTGGTGGGTACAGGATAGTTAATAATTAACATTTACAGCTCATAGAGATGGTATGTGGGGAGCAAGATAACAATGAGGGGTTCTGTGGTCTTATACTCTGGTGGTTATGTCCTGAGGGGTATGGAAATGGACATTACTCTGACATTTCAAAGGACTGTTATCTTAGATGCAAAAAGACAATAGACAGGCTCACTTTTACGTAAAGATTGACGTTTATCAAGGACGCGACTACCCGCCATGGTCCACTTTTAGTTAGAAATTTTTGTGTTCAGACCATCCTATGTGGTTACTTTCCATGTCTGGGTTTGTGGGGCCTGCCATGCTGGCCTCCCCTGAGCTTGTTGGGTTTAGTATGTGGCTCCTTTTTCATCCACAAACTCCTTCCAAGTTATTTGCCAAAAACCTCAAAGCGATCTGCTAACAAAAATTACTTCTCATGACATATTAGCTGACAATTCTGTTAAGTTGTTCTTCAGTTTTGTTGAAAGCAAAGACTTGGAAACCACCTGACTTGTAAAAAAAGGCTTGCACCTACACCAATATCTCAAGTTGTTTCTTTGTTCAGTGTCCCCTGCCCCCCAATACTTTTGCCTTGGGGCAAAAATACTAACACAGGATTCAGGATGGGCAGGACACTTCCTTTCTTTTAAAGGGAGAAAGGCAATTGGGAACTCTCAAGATGGTGGGGAAGCAGACCTGAGCTGGGGAAGATGGTGGGGAAGCCGACCTCTCAAATGGGTAGTTTTCAGGTGGAGAACATGAGGCTAAAAACGGATTCCTTTAAAACCATCAATGTTTATATACACCTTGGACAATCTTTATGTACATCTAGGGGTACCTGTACCCCCGTTTGAAGACTGCTGTCCCAGAGTAACCAGAAATATTAGTGCATGGAGCTACTGAGTTCATGTCACTGACTAGCTGTGTGACCTTGGGCAAGTTCCTTAACCTCTCTGAGCTTCAGTTTCCTCATCTGCAAAAGGATGATAACATTGCTTTCCTTGTGTGATATTGTTAAGGGTAAATGAGAGAGCGCTTAACACGGGGCTGGACACCTGGTATGTGACTGGTGCAGAGTAGCTCCTAGCTTCGTATTGGCCTTGGTGCAAGCAGAGATCCAGGCGTGCTGCAATCTCCCCATGCTCCCTGTCCAAGCTTCTCCTCTGGGTTTGTTCCCCCTCCCATAGGAGGGACCCCACTCTCTGCAGTGCGCTGACACAAATTTCTGTGTTTGGTCTCTGGCAGGTGCGGCGATACTGTTCCCCGGAGGTAACCAGCCCCTCGGAGGAGAGACCCCACACCTGGCTCGTGTATTTATTACCCTCACACTCTCAGTTACCTCCCTGCTGGCACCTGCCCTCTATTTATTAGCCAATTGTATCCCTGCTGAATGACTCTCGCTCCCTCCACGATGAGGGGCAGGGAGGGACAGGACCCTCAGGAATTCAGTGCCTTAAGCAGAACGTGAGAGAAAGATGGCAGCCATGGACCCGTGCGTACTTCAGCTTGGGAAGAAGCAAGACATGTGGCTTTGTGAGAGGCAAGCCAGGCCCCAGAGGCTCTGGGGATCTCCCAGGGGCCAGAGAAGGAAGAAGAGAAGAGGACATACCGCCTGTTCTTGGGCCTTGGTTTCTGTGCAGACAAGCAGTCCTTGTTTGAGAAGCTCTGGCCAGGGTGGCAGTGGAGGAGCCTGCTCTGGCCCTGACTGAGTGGGAAGGCAGGCAGCGGGTGGAGGGGTCCTTTGGCTTCCTCTCCCTGGCAGCAGCTCGGCTCCCTGGAGAGCAGACGGTTCAGCTCTGGAGAACGGTAGTTGCCTGGGGCCTTGGCCACTCCTTGTCCCCTACGGCCTCTCCTCACATCTTGCCTCTGCTTGTGCTGGGACGTTGTTCTTTATGGCCAAGGCATCGCCATCCTGCCCTCTCAGGGACACAGGCGAAGAGAGGGCCCCAGGCTGGGCACGGAGCAAGCTGCCCTGCGTGGCTGCCTGACTGCCAAGCCAGATTCTCTTGAATAAAGTATCCTAGTCTGGAATCAGCTTCTCCAAGGGAGTTGTGTCTGCCAGAGCAGTGAGCAGCCGCAGAAGTGGAAGCAGGATGGAAAAAGGGCTCCTGAACCCCAAGGCTGCCCTCGGGGTGGCTCTGGCTGCTCTTGTAGCTTCCTGGGGTGTCTTCTTCCCAGCTGTTTTAGGCAAAAGCCTGAGGGCCACTCTTCCCAGAATGAGGGGTTCCTGAGATATAGTCTTAGCCCCAAACTTGGCAGGGAGGGGGGGCCTGGCCCCAACCACCCTTGAATACCCTAAAATTCAAGAGCATAGTCCCCTCCCCCTCCCCCCAGGGACACTCCCCACCTGGCCAGATGCCTGGCCCTCTGGACCCTGAGTGAATGGCGGCTCCCGGGCTCTTCAGGCCCTGGCCCCAGGGGACTGAAATGCCCGCCTCCAGCCTGCTCAGGCTGCTGAGTGCAGGGGTCTGCAGGTGCTGGCTGGTTTCTCCTTCCTTCTACCTCCTGTCTTTCTCTGCCTTCCTCCTGGAAGCCTTGGCATGAAATGAGGAAGATGTTTTCTTTCCTTTTTTCAGTCCAAACCACCAATACTATCAGATTCTCATCTACCTCTCACCCACAAGGTGTGTTGTTTTATTGTATGGGTTGTGGGAAGGGGCGTCCCCTATTCTCTCTCTTTGCAGGCTGCTCAGGACAAACCCACAGGGGCCCAGGGGGAGGCCCGCCTCAGGCTTTGGAGGGAAGCCATGTACAGTCCAGTGGGGTAGGGTGGCCCTGCTGAGGCAGCTGCCCTTGGCTGTCTGTTTACCGAGGCCCAGGCCCCCTGGAGGATGCTCTGGTGGGAATATGCTTCTGGCTGGTAATCACAGAGGGGGGGGGTGTGGGCCAGTCCCAGGGGACATGCTTTGCAGTAGAAAGCCCTGTCTCTCCTGCTTCTCCACCTTTGGGCTACAGCCATTCTGCACCCATTGCCTTTGATGGGCTGAGAGCTGAGAAGAGTACCCCTTCCCCTTGGCCAGGCTCTGGCTTGGCCCTAGGGCCCCCAGCCCAGACCTTGTAGCATCTCCAAGACTCCCAGCTTCACAGGTCACCCACACAGAGGTCAGCCTCCCTACCCAGGCCATAGACCCCTGTAGAGAACTAGACAGAGACCAGGGGAGCTCCCAGGGTCCAGAAGCAAAAATATGCACCCATGACCAGGAGCCTGGCAGCAGGGATGAGTAGGAACGGAACTGGCTGGGCTGTTTGACCATATTGTCAGCCCTTTCAGGTCAGTTTGATCCTAAAGGGCCCTTTTCAGGGGGTGAAGGGGTTTGGTGGCTTCTTCCTCTTCCTGGCAGCAGGATCCAGTGAGGAATAAAACACACAAGGACTTGCTCTCACAGATCTTGTATCTGCGTGGAGAGACAGACCATAATCGTGTGTTATAGGATATCAGGAGGACATTATTGTTGCTCAAATTGGTGACTGGACTTAGAACTAAGGAAAAGGGGTCTTGAGTAACCCCACACTCTAAAACAAAGCAGAAGCAATTTGGGGATGGACACAGCTGCCTACGGGATGTATTAAGAGTTGACGGAAGTAATTCTGCTAGGCCCAAACATCGCCCAACACCCCCTCCCTTAGGCTCCATGAGCAGAAGACCAAGAACAGGGAAGGAAGGGAGGGGGGGTGAGGTCATTGGAGACCTGGGTTATGGTCCTTCCCCTCTTCTCTCTAGAGCTGGATTTGCCATTCAGATCAGCCCATGTGCTCTCTGAATTGGAACTGAGGGAAGTGGAGAACCGAGGAGTGACAGAGGACAAAAACAGGGGATACCGTGAGACATCCAACAGGAGTTTCCCATGGTCAGGGGGACATGATGGAAGGTGAATGGCCATGAAAGCCTTGCCCACGTTCTCCCAACAGGGAGACCTGCGAGTAAGGAGGCCCCCCAGGACATAGGCTGTGGGTATAGGGTTGGAGCAATAGCTGAGTGAGGAGTATCAGATCTAGAGCTGGAAAACGAACCCATCAGGGAACAGTGCTGTGGAGTGGCCCTGTGGTACGCCCACAAGAGATTTGGCACCTGGATGCCTGTCATGCGAGGCACAGTCACAGCCATAGAAGAAGTGGCCAAAGCTAAGAGGAACTTTCCCCCAATTTCTCCTTCCTGACCCCATATGAAAGAAGAGACAGAGACTGTGGAGAGGGAAGTGGGGAGGAGCACAAGGGCAGACCATGCCCCTCCCTGCTCCCTTGAGCCAAAGCCAGGCACTGCCTGGGGGAGGGAGAGGTGTTAGACTTAAATTGGATGCACCAGGCTAGATGGGGCTGGACCTTTAATAAATTAAAGTTACAGGAGCATTAGAAGATCTGCCCAAAATGCTATCAAGAGACAAGAAAAGGAGAATCAACATAGTTCATCTAGAAGCAATGATAAGAGGAAAAAAAAAAACACAAAAAACTGGGTTGTTTGTACTCCCACTGTTTGCTCAATAAGCAAGTTATACATGTAAACAAAGAAATAAGAAAATATCTTGGGTCGGCCAAGTGGCGCGTTGGTTAAGAGTTGGCTTGGGACGCCAGCTCTGAGCAGCAGGGCCCCGGTTCAGATCCCAGATGAGGGCCAGTGATGCTACGCCCTCTACAGCTAAGATGGTGAACAACAGCTCAACCTGGAGCGGGGCTGCTGTGAGTTGCTGGCAACAGCGAAGGCTGCTGTGAGCTACCATGAGTGGCTGGCAATGGGCGTGAGCGGCCAGCAGCCGGCGAGAGCTGCCGTGAGCCACCGTGAGCCACCGTGAGCAGCCGTCCAATGGCAGGCAACCGATCTGCCTCAGCCAGGAAGAGTGCAGTGATCACAACACCAACATGGGCCAGTGAAGCGACATCCTTCAAAACTAGACTGAAGAACAAAAGGACAACAACTTGTCTGTTCCCCTTCCCTGATTCCCCAATGCTGTTTCCCTCCCCCAATTCCCCAATAAAATCTATAAAAAAATAAAAAGAAAAGAAAATATCATATTACCAAAATGTGATTCTGGCACATTAGAGATGGCCTTGAATTCTTTGACATTTCTCCCCTGAGAGGGGAGGTCTCTGTCTCCTCCCTTTGAATCTGAGTTGACCTGGGTCTGCTTTGATCAATAGAGTATGGCAGAAGAGACCCTATAATAGTTCCACGTCCTTTCAAGAGGACTGGCAGTTTCTGCCTTGGTTTCTTGGAACCATGCGCTACCATGTAGGAAGTACAACTATCATGAGATCACCATGTTGGAAGGAAGCCCAAGCTAGCCATACAGAGGTGTGTTTATGAAGAGAGAGATAGAGATAGAGAGATAGAGGTAGATAGATAGATAGATAGATAGATAGATAGATAGATAGATAGATAGATATGCTCATTCAGCCTTCAGCTGTTCTAGGTCCCAGCCTTTACAGCCTTCTCAGCAGAAGCCCCAGACCCCATGGAGCAGAGACAGACTGTGCACTGTTTGATTTCCTAACCCACAGACTCATGAGATATAATAATAACAAATTGTTTGGGGGGCAGTTTTTTATGCAGCAATAAAGGCTGAATGGAAACTAAGGAAAGGTGATGAGTCAGTGTTTGAGGGAAGGGCCTTCAGACCAGGAGGTCATGAAGGCCTCTCTGTGGAGGGGACATTTGAGGTAAAGTTCAAAAGACAAGACGAGAAGGAGTTGATCATACGAAGATCACTCCAGACAGAGGACAAGAACACTCCGAACAAAAGGCATAGCTGATGCAAAGGCCCTAGAAGGAATCCCAGTGTGGCTGGAGCATGATGGGCAAGAGGAAGGAACATGAGATGTGATGTTAGAAGTAGAAAGGGGCCAGATCATGGAGGGCTTTTCAGGGTAAGGAGTTTGAATTTTGTTATAATGTGGAGGAAAACCATGGGAGGGTTTCAAGCAGAGGAATGAAGTGATATTATGTACACTTTTGAAAAATCACTCTGCCTTTTGTGTGGAGATGGGTCCTAGGAACACAAGACTAGAGGTACAAATATCCCTTACAAGGCTGTAGCAGGTCCGGGCAACCAATTACAATGGCTTGGTCTAGGAAGAAGTACTGAGGATGGAGAGAAGTAGAGAGTTTGGTCTTAATTATGCATGTGGGCTGGTTACCCTGATCATTCATTCATTCAGGAGCATATTTTGAATCTCCTAGGACCAGGCAATTTGTAGTAGATATATGTGTGCAAGGTGGGAGGCAGGCAAAATATAGTAGCATGTGAAAGTCTTCCAGTTTCCCCAGTTACTAAAGAAAATCACATTCTATGAGCAATAAGGAGACTAGGAGAGATGTCTTAGCTGAAGAAACTGAGTTGATCTGCCTAAGCATGGAGAGAAGGCAAGTTGGGAAGAGGAAATAAAAGATCTCAAGGCTAGATCTAGAGAAAGAGCTCGGGGTTTTGTGGTGGAGCTTCTGATGATTGAAGACAATTTGGGGAGTGAAGGAAGAGTTTGGGGAAGTGCTGCTACACTTCCCTATGTTGGAGGCCCTAATATTCTTTGAGAGATGCCCACTCGGTGAGACACTAGGCAGAGGCCAAGTCTAGTGGAACACCTGGATTAGCTAGGGTTACACAGAGATAGATAAGGCAGGGTCTCTGACCTTAGTTAGTCCAAGGAATCCGATATGCACAGGTGATTATAAAAGAAGGAAAGAAGGCCACATAGCGTAAGTAAATGCAGATGCAGGGCTCCTAAAGAAACCTGAGATACCTGAGATGATTTACACATGGGGAAAATCAGGGCTGGCTTTGCAAAGTCAGCGGCATTTGAGCTGCGACTCGAGGAATAGGCAAGGTTGAGTGTGGGGAGTTTGCTGAGGAAGGCGTGCTAGGTGGAGGCAACCCGTTAACCAAGACCCAGAGGTGGAAAACCCTCGCTGTGTAGGGATTATCAAATGGTTCAGCTTGGCTGATGCTTAAGGCATGTGAAGCAGACGAGTGATGGAAGGTAGGCTCGACCCTGGACGCCATCTTAGGTAGTTAGGGCTTTGGTAGGTAGTGGTGGGGGGGCAC